TTTTCGAATTCTATATGAAAAATAAGTAAATACGTGTTTTTTTATTTTTTATTTGATCAAAATTATAAAAGTTATTGTTTTTTTAGATTTAACGTTTTCAGATGCAGAGGACTTTTGAAACACTTTTTTCTCTGTTAAACCAAAAGATAAAAAATTATATAATATATGGAAATTATTTATTTTTTCATGAACATTTCAAATATGTAATAAAAAATAACAATAATAATGCGAAAACATTAAATAAATTGAAATATCGTCTAAAATGTGACTTTTCTGAAAAGCGAAGTAATTGATTTTCATTTTTTTTCATTACAAACACTGAAAAATAAAGAAATTTTTCCCACTTATGCTAAAGTGGTGTTCTTTAGGGTTCAAATTATATTTAAAATTATGTCACTCGTTGCACAGATTTTAGAGAAGGAAAATGAAAAATTAACCACAAAACATTCGTTTTCTTTTGTTTTTGAAGGTTAATTTTTTAAAAAGTGTAAAAGTCGAATAAAACTCTGTGCAACGACTGACATAATTTTAAATATAATTTGAACCCTAAAGAACGCCACTTTGGCATAAGTGGGAAAAATTTATTTATTTTTTAGTGGTTGTAATGAAAGAAAAAAATCGAAAATCAATTACTTCGCTTTTGAGAAAAGTCATATTTTAGACGATATTTCAATTTATTTAATGTTTTCGCTTTATTAATGTTATTTTTTATTACATATTTGAAATATTCATGAAAAAATAAATAATTTCCATATATTATATAATTTTTTATCTGTTGGTTTAACAGAGAAAAAAGTGTTTCAAAAGTCCTCTACATCTGAAAACGTAAAATCTAAAAAAACCATAAATTTTTTAATTTTGATCAAATAAAAAATAAAAAAACACGTATTTACTTATTTTTCATATAGAATTCGAAAAAAATTGTTTCAATCAAAAAAAAAATGTTGAGTGAAAATTACACTGAGAATGCCCCTTATGTTTTATCTATTCTCGAGTTTGCATCGATTATATGGTCACCATACTACATTATTCATATCATTAGATTAGAGAAGGTTCAGAATCGTGTTTTGCGATTTGTCGCCAGACAACTTGGTGTTAGTTATGATTTTTTCTCTCACAATTATGATGAATTGCGATCTATATTTGGTATTTCCAAAATACAAACAAGATTTTGCTATAATGATTTTCTTTTTTTGTTTAAAGTTATCAGCGATGTCATAAATTGTCCTCAGCTGCTATGTATGATTAAATTTTGCTTTCCTGCTCGACGATTGCGAAATTTTTCTTTATTTTATGTACAGTATCATAGAACAAATTACGGTAGAAATTCTATTATTAATAGATTATGTCGCGAATCGAACTTCTACTGTGGCAGTTTATACTTTTTTGGAGTTAGTTTGGCACAATTTACTCGCAGATTGCGCACAAGTATTTTTTAAGTTCATGAATGTTAAATGTTAATATATTAATTTTTGTATTTAATTGTAGACAAAATTTTAGTCTGCAATATTTAGCATTATTTGTAAAGGGCTTTTTATTTTATTTTACTTAAAACTTGTTACTCGGGAGTTTTGGGGTCGCTGATTACGAATCCGGTGTCAGATTTTCAAAATTCAAAGTGTCGTTTGCAATATGGCTGATCGATTTTTCAAAATTTTTTCAGATTTGCTTGATATTATGTAAGTTCAAAAATTATAATTTACCAACATCATTAAATCCTATTAATTAAACATATTCAAGTTTATTAATTTTAAAAATTTCTCCGCTAATAATAAATCTACAATCTAAATTTAAGAATAGACTACAGATTCGTAATCAGCAACTCCAAGAACCTCTGAGTAACAAGTTTCATTCCAATCCGATCTATCTGTAAAAAAAATTGTCCGCTATATTGGATCCGCCATTTTAAATTTTTTAAAATTGATATCATATTCGTAAGGGAGCGTTCACAAATTATGTCACGTTTATGAGGGTAGAGTGGTCTCTACTAAACGTGACACAATGTATTTTTACATGTGAAATTGCGTGACAGGAGGGGGTCTAAAATCCCGAAAAATTGCGTGACATCATTTATGAACGCTCCCTAATCAGTGACTCTAGAAACCTCCGAGTAACAAGATTCATGCCAATCCGATTAATTTTTTGCTTCCTCGTGAGGAAGCTTTGTAGTCGTTTAATTTACAAAATTTTTAAAAATCCTTTTAACAAATTTTCTTCTTTATGGGACTATGTTATATAAGACCCTGAACAATTGTCCGGATGTATGTATGTGTGTGTGTGTGTAGATCCCGATTTTTGTGAACACGATAACTTGAAGAGGTTTTAACGAATTTGGCTAAAATTTACCAGGTATATTTATCATAAAAATATCTCGAAATGGATTGATAGACTTAAAAAAATTCTCAGAAAAAATTTTTTTTTTGACTTTTTTCTAAAAAAAATTTAAAAAAAAAAATTTTTTTTAAGTTGCTTATTAAAGTTAATATATAATAAAATTTTATTTTTTGCATCAAGACGAATCGATTGATATATACAAAGTATAAATTTTATGAGAATTTATATAGAGTTAATCACAATTAAAGCTGAAAATTTCGTATTTTTACCAAAAAATGAGTTCTTTTCGCAAAATTATGTTGCTGTATAAGAAAATCTTACTCATTTATTTATAAAATCTTATTCTTTGCACAAAGACGGATCGATTGGTATATATAAAGTATATATTGTATTTAAATTTATAGAATTAAAACCAATTATAGACAAAAAATTTGCACTTTTAAAAAGTTCTTTTTTTTTAAATCATGTTGCTGTAGAATAAAATGTTATTATTTATTAAAAAATAAATCAAAAATCTTATTCTTTGCATCAAGGCAAATCGATTGATGTAAATAAAGTATATATTCTATTGAAAATTATAGAATTAATTACAATTAAAGTTGAAAAATTCACTTTTTTACTAAAAATTTTTTTGTTTATTTAGATTCATATTACTGTATAAGAGAATTTTATTCTTTCCATTAAGACGAATGAACTTTATTTACTAAATGTTAAATTGTACTAAAAATGATTTAAAAATTAAATAAACTTAATGTTAATGCTTCCTCCACAAGGAAGCAAATTTTTTTTCCTGATCGTAAAGAGGAAGCAAAATGTTCATGTAATGAACATCTGGATTTACAACTTGTTACATTAGTTGTCAGCGATTTTTAAATGTTTTAAAAATTCGTGATTTTTAACAAAAATTTATGTATTTTTTAAACAATAGGGTGAAAGGGTTAAATCTTTCTCTACCCTGCGAAGAAAGTTATATTAGACTGTCTTTGTCAAAAAAATCTAACGATTTTGGAATATAACATGCAATTTAAAGCTTATCTTTCTCCCTCTATCCAAGAAAATATAATATAAGAACTTCTTCGTTCAACATTGTTTATCATTTTCTATGTCATTACAAGTGACATAAGAATATCTTCGCCCGAAAATCTTACTATTCTTTACTTTGTCTTTCCATAAAACTGACATAAGAAATAATAACATAATAATAATAATAATAATAATAATAATAATAATAATAATAATAATAATAATAATAATAATAATAATAATAATAATAATAATAATAATAATAATAATAATAATAATAATAATAATAATAATAATAATAATAATAACATAAGAATGTCTTCCTTTGTCTAATTTACATGTCTACTCGTTTCTATAAGATAATACAACTATATAATTATAGTAATCTTTTTTTAAATTTTAACAGAATTTTATATTTCCTAAATGCCACAATCGGCATTTTTATATTTGAGGACGCTTAAGCTGTTCTTTAATATTCTTAAGTTTGCTTAAACATCTTTATCTCCTTAATCGAAACTAAATTAAACTCTGTCTGAAAAATGGTTCTTCTTGTATCTTACAGATCAGTTAAGGCGTTTTTCATTCCAAACGTGAACATGCGTCAAGCCATGATTTCTGGAAGGGTGGATTTTATTTAATTTAAGAAAAATTGTTTGTACACGGGTAGAAAAGTATAGTTGAAACACCTATATTTATTTGTAAATTGATCATACTATATTTGTAATATACAGCCAACCGTAATTAGTAATTTCTCTATCTTCCTCTACCTGATATACAATATAGTAACTTGTTAGACAACTTAAGCATATGCATTTTTTTAATTTATCATTTGTTTTAAAAAATTTTACATAATTTTTTAACCATCAATTTCATGTCAAAATCTACTAATTCTTCTATCTGTCTATAAAATGTTAAGAGACAGTTTATGATAAACTGTTATTTAAAGTACATAATTAATTTGAAAAATGTTTTATCGATATTTGTGAAGATACTTTAGTTACAGCGCATTAAATTTACGAGGTGGTGGAGGTTTGCCTTTGCTCCCTCGGCAATTTTAAAGTAGGTGCTTGAAATGCTCAAAGTATAGATTAATGCGTGAGATGGTACGGCAGCTAACTAACTAATTTTTTAGTTTAATACAAAGTTTTATTAATAAATCAATAAACTGTAAATTGAATCTATTTTAAGTTAAATTTTTTTCAGATAGAAAAATGATCTTCTCACTTCATGTTTATATGTATTTTTTTCTGAATTGCGCCTTCAAGTTTTCGTGCAACATTTTTTTCTATACTTAACAACTCTAAAATCTTTATTTTCTGTAGCAAGAAATTTTCAGGTTTTAGTTTGAAAATTATTCATTTCTATTGCTTACTATGAGTGAAACGGACAAAAACTAGCGCTGACTATGTTAGACAATACTGGACCGACCTTTGTAGTCTTCGAACCCAAACTCACTTCCGTCTTGTCTGTTTAACAACGTTGAACAAAATTTTAAGTTATAAAACAAAAAGGCAGATACACAAATGAAGTTTATGTAATTTAACAAATTGTGTAATTTTTTTAACGAGGATCTCAACATTGTTTCCTTAAAGGTAAATGTTTGTCTAAAGAAGTGAAGCCGTGAGTTTGAGAATTTTACTTACCGTTAATAAGGTGAAGCTCTGTTGATGTTTTGAAGTGCACAGTATGAAGTGCTAATTCTCCAGTCTCGGCAGCTGCTTGAAGTAATAATTGTTGATGATGATGATGATGCCTGGTTGACGATCTGTGATGATGGACACTATTCAAAACGATATTACTCGATGTTCGACTCAAAGCTTTTCTTTGGCGCACTGCTTCTTTATAGATTTTACAATACATCACAATCATCACTAGTCCCGGTATCCAAAACGACACGCACGAACTTATCACAGCATAGGGACGATTGACAACGAAATCACACTTCTGGAAAAGAAAAATGTTGTTGGCCATTATTCCCTGTTTATTAGGGATTTCATTACAACGAGCGCCTGCTTTAAGATAGCAGGCGACAGGAACTAAAAGCCATTCATTTGTTCACTTGAATTAAAATGGCGACCTTTTTTCCCATGGGCAAAAAACAGCTGGTCCTATGTCACAGTGGGCCAGGATCGTCGATTTTTGTCCAAAAATCATTATTAAAAAAAACAAGATATTTACGAATGACAAGTATGCTACCTACAGTTTTTGGGGTCGCTGATTACGAATCTGAAGTTAGATTTCAAAAATTCAAAAAGGCGGATCCAATATGGCGGACATAATTTTTTTATATGAATCAATTTTAATAAAGCATAAATATCTAAAGGTTTCTTGGGTCGCTGATTACGAATCTGAAGTCAGATTTCAAAAATTCAAAATAGCGGATCCAATATGGCGGACACAAAATTTTAAAATGAACCCTCACGGTGCTTTTTAAACCGATTTAACTGAAAGGTTCTGGCACCTGGAATTTTCTTCCTGATTTCGATTCTAGATCACAAGTACATCATTTTCCAACAAAAACGAAAATCTTCTGTGGAGCCGTTTTTAAGAAAAGTTGATTTAAACATTCAAAACAACGAAAAGTCAGCTTTTCTTCAAGAAATATATATTTGAGAAAGAATATCATCAGAAAAAACTTGTAGATATTAAAAAAAGTAATTTTTTATGGTTACTAATTCAGATTTTAAAAATGAAAAATGCTGGATCCAATATGGCTGACAAGTTTTTAAAATTTTTTGGATTTTTACTTTTCTTGGTATCTAGGGGTTTTCGGAGACGCTGATTACAAATCAGAAATCAGCATTTAAGAATTCAAAATGGTAAATTCAATATGACGAACAAGTTCTTGAAAAATTTCCCGAATTCACACGAAACGTGATAATTGGGGGTTTCAAATTGCGGATATTAGGGACCAATATTGCAAACAAGTCATTAAGAACCCCAAAAAAACACACAGTAACAGGCTTCGTGTGAATTCGAAAGATTTTTTAAAAACTTGTTTGCAATATTGGATTTGCAATTTGGAATTCTGAAATCCTGACTTCAGAATCATTATATGAAATCACTAAAACCCCTGAGTAACAGGTTTCGTGTAAATTCGATAGATTTTTTAAGAACTTGCTTGTCATATTGGATCCTGCATTTTGAATTCTAAAATTCTGATTCGTAATCAGGGACTTAAAAAACTCCTGAGCAACATTTTTTGAGTTTTTTCGGATGTACCGTAACTACTGTAGATAAAAACTGTACATTTTACCCATTTTAAATCATAATAAAACAATTTTCGAAAAAATGACCGCCATATTAGATTTTGAAATTCTGACTACAAATTTGAAATCAGCGACCCCGAAAACCCCTAGATTCCAAGTAAAGTGATAATCCAAAAAAATTAAAAAATTTGTCTGCCATATTGGATCTGACATTTTGCATTTTTAAAATCTGACACCAGATGCGTAATCAGCGACCTTAAAAAACGCCGACAAACAAGTTTGAAACGAATCTAATCAATTTTAAAAAATTTGTATGTTACCAAAATTATTACATAAAATCTGACATGTTTTTTGGTGTTAGAAAAAAATCTTGACATGAAGGAGCAAATCAGACTTCGGATTCGTGTTCAGCCTACCAAAATACATGGGGTTATCGTACTATGATCTTTTGCGCAGGATACTTTTTTTGGGGTTGTGTTATATTTTATATTATGTTATATTTATAAATGTTTACATAATTATAAATTACATAATATGTTACATAATATATAACTGTATTGTAACATTTTCCTAGATTATAAAATGTTATATTTCATTATTATTAAAAACTGTGCGAAAATAAAATTCTTAAAGCAAGTTGTTTCATTTTAACTAGTTTTTAATAAAGAAAAACTGAAAGCAAAAGGTTAGTTTTCTTCGTCTCTGACGTAAACTATTATAATTTTATAGGTATAGGACATTGGTAATCATATAAAAATTGCTTTTTAATATATACAAGTTTTTTCTGATGATATTCTTTCTTAAATGTGTATCTGAATTTTCGTTATTTTGAATTTTTAAATCAACTTTTCTTAAAAACGGCTCCACAGAAGATTTTCGTTTTTGTTGGAAAATGATGTACTTGTGATCTAGAATCGAAATCAAGAAGAAAATTTCAGGTGCCAGAACCTTTCAGTTAAATCGGTTTAAAAAGCACCGTGCCCTCTGAGCAAAAGGATATCCTAGAGATATCCCGCGGGATATTGAGATATCCCAGGGAGATCCCTGGGATATTTGTGACATCTCAGAGATATCCCTGGGATATCCAAATTTCCATCCCATGGGATACTCGCGCGGGATATCCAAATATTTTCCACACGGGATATGCCACGTGAGAAATAGTAATATGTTGAAAAATAATTAGAGCTTTAAAGAGTTAAAAACCATTATTAAATTATAACCAGAATGATAAAAAAATTATTTTAAAAATAAAAGATTATTTGACTAATATCAAAGTTATTTTTTTGTGATTTAATAAACATTAGTTGAATTTAATAAAATATCTTTTTAACGCTGAACATTTATTGTGTGTGGGTTTAAACTAATTTTGGTCAATTCATTTTAACTATTACTGATAAATATTTATTGGTTAAAGATATTTACAAGAAACTAAAAAAATGTGAAAGTTAAACATATTAAACAGCAACACTTATAATCACACACTGCAAAACACACGCTTCTGATCTAATGACGCGACGCCATGGTCGCCATGACACTCAACAGCTGGAAAGGTTGACGCATGCGCGTGTAAGATTATATGAGTACATACATATAAAATTTTATTTCTTCTTGTTTAAAGGGAAAAATATACTGGATTTTTAGTAATTAATCTAGTAACTCATGCATTATTTGTTTAGAATGTAGTTAGAATAAATATTTGATTAATTTAATATATTATCTGCCAAAAAAAGTAACTAAAAAATCGTACACTTTAAACTGAGTTTATAAATATATTTATTTTCCACTTTCGTTAATTTAATGCAACAAATATTTAAACAAACTTTTTCTAATTTAAATGCGTTAAATATAATTTCACAGCTCTTTGACACACACTCTTTGACACTTGGAACGATTGCATTTCGTTTCCTGCGCATGCACTGACATATCCCACGCGGGTTATCCCACGCGGGATATCCCACACGGGATGACCCACGAAAGAAAACTTTGCATATCCCGTGGATATCCCAGGAACCTCCCAGGGATATCCAGCATATGTCTTTGAGATATCCAAATTTCCGTCCCGTGAGATATCTCATGGGATCTCCCTGAGATATCCTAGGGATATCACGGGATGGAAATGGGATAATCGCGGGATATCCCGTGCTGTGAGGGAATAAATTTGAATTAAACATAGGTATCTATGGGTTTTCTGGGTCGCTGATTACGAATCTGATGTCAGATTTCAAAAATTAAAAATAGCGGATCCAAAATGGCGGACATACAATTTTTAAAATTAATCGATTCTTATGAAACTTTGTATCTAGGGTTTTTTTAGGTCGCTGATTACGAATCTGATGTAAGAATTCAAGTGGATTTTAGATTGGATAAGATTCGCCTACAATTTGTTGCTTGGGAGTTTTTAAGTTTGGTGATTACAAAACTAGTGTCTATAAAATTCAGAAAATAAAAAAAATTTTCTTGTTATTAGCCTACAAAAATAAAACGTACTGTAGTTTCCAGGATCTAAAACGAGGAGGTTACAGGTAAAAATCCCATTATGTATTTTTTTAGATTTTAAAATTTTTTTAGTTTTTTTGTTTTTTTTGACACCTGATGTTTACTTATACAGTACCGCTCAATAACTTTTGCCCACCCTACAGCGATTGAGAGCTGTACAAAAAGTTTTGTATTTTATTTATTATTAAAGATAAAAAGCTTAAAAAGGTCTATTTTTAAAGCTCTTTTCCTGAGCTTTAACAGTGTATAAAATAAAAATTAAAAAAATTAATTTGTTAGTGTTTAAAAAATGTTATTGCAACATAAAATTTTTCGTTTTTTTTTGTTTTTTTTAAAGTGATACAGTTTGTTAGGAAATGGTCGCATTTTAATCCCACATATATTTTCTGAAAGCTAGTTTTATCACCTTTAAAATGCATTTTTTAAAAATTTTATACGATAATTTTTAAGAAAAATATGATTTTTTGTTTAAAAAAATAGCCATTTTTTTCAATTGTTGATAACTCAAAAACGGTTACTTTAGGAAAAAATTTTTAAGAACATAAATTATTCCTTTTTATGTGCAGAATTAGAAAAAAAATATTAAAAATTTTTTTTTCAAAAAAATTTTTTTGAATTTTTTTGAAAAAAAATTTTTTTTTTCATTTTTTATATTTTTTAGTTTTAATTGTAGAAACTCGCTTTTTACACTCATTACAACAAGCAAGAAAATTTTTCATCGTATTTATTTAATTTTTTTCAATAATTTTAACTCACCAATCATTTAAATAACTTTTGTTATAATACTTATTTATTATATTATTATATTTTAAAAATTTATTAACATTGTAATCGACAGTACGTCTCGAGATGTTAATTAATTTTGAAATCTGTCGATTACTTTTTCCATCTTTGTGATGCGTTATTATTGCTATGCGCTCATCAGTAGTTAAATTTCGAGATTTCATTTTGCTGATTAATCAGAACATATAATGTTAATAAATTTAAATAATAAATTTCGCGTATTTTCAAATATATAGAGAAAGACTTCCGATATTTATGACAATTGTCACAAGACTGACATTATGATGACAATCGTCGAAGTAATTAAGAACCTTTAATCCGTTTACAAACAATATAATAAATAAGTATTATATCAAAAGTTATTTAAATGATTGGTGAGTTAAAATTATTGAGAAAAATTAATTAAATACGATGAAAAATTTTCTTGCTTGTTGTAATGAGTGTAAAAAGCGAGTT